CGGCGAAAACAATGATTCTGTTGAATGCTACGACAAATGAATAAAAACAAAATGCAAATATTAAAATTAAAACAGATTAAAGTTATAGGAACAATATCAGGCCATTACCTTGTTCGAGGAATGTATCCATCAATATCCACAAAACTGTTCCAAATGATGTGTCTTTTAACAGTTTAATATACGAAAAAGTGATAAATCTTTTCAGGTATTGGTGTATAGTCTCACTGGTCACCCAAGATAGCACACCTGGCAACTAATTGCATAATGTCCGCCTTTCTTTAAAAACAGTAATTTAGTTAGCCAATAATGGGCAATCAATCAATGTATTGCCGGTTAATCCTTTGAAAGAAGGACGTTGTTTGTACGCAGACACCGACACGACAGAGTGTATTCAGTATAGATTAGTAAATCTACATACATAAACACTACCTTTTGACAATTCCTCTGTGTAAGATAAAAGTAATTAATCAATCAGCGTGTTATCGGTTAATCCTTTGATCGATGTTTATAATGTTGAATATTTACTCCAGACACAAGAAATGCCAAATGGGAACCTTTGTCGGGTAATCTAAGTGTGTTACCACTAATTATACCTGTTATAAATTCATTAACTGACCATCAAGTGAATGATGACAAATAACATGTGTAGGTTTATACCACCGAACACGGGTTACAACAAGGGAGTATTAATTGCTGTATTGCATGTGAAAACTTATGGTCCGACACTGTTTTGAGAATACAAACAGATTTTTACATGACATGATTAAATATCGAGGTAAAAAAACACAGAAATGGGATCAATTTAGATCAGTCATTATACAAATAGGGCCTAACGACACCAATCGATTTTGACAGAATCGTCTATGAAAACAAATTGTAACTCGGAAACTAGGCAAAGCAGGAGACAAAATTAAATGACAGTAGATTGTGAGAACATATAGCTTTCATTTTCCACAACAATTGTCACGATTTCAGGTTTATACAAGCCTGTAAACAAGATAATTTACCCCCTAAAATGTAGATGAATTCTGCATCGGCCCTCAAAGCTGTTCCTCCTATGACGCCACAGAGACGCGCCGCTCTGATTGGTTGAAATTTCGTTCGCGGGTGAGAATTGTGCACTGTTGTCAAAAAGGTCGATTTAAGTCAATTAAAGGTCGAAATGAGTAGTTTTAATGACGGGGTTTCATTTATAACGATGCCAGTTAGTGATTTATGTATTTTTACCCCCTAGGGTTTATGTGACCTTTAATATATGCCATCCGTTCCCTCTGTGGGACACACTTTAACTTACATTTGATTTATACCAACTTGGTTGTTATATACTTTATATCTCCTTTACTTAATCTGAAGGACAAACGATATCTCACATTTGACAATTTGACATATGATATCTCGTCATCTATAGGTCAGACCATATGTTATATATACTCGGGGTGGGGAGGGGGGGGGGGTAGAAAAAGATATTTCCATCTGTACAGTTCAGATATTATCTATATAATCAAAAGATCATTTCAATCGTTCAAATATGGCACAAGTCATTAACGTCGCCCAATGGAACCAATTGGATTAAGAAATGTGGCTTGGAGAATGTTCCTTCCTACAGTTCTTATGCCAAATGTTGGATGTTCTTTGGCTGTTGCTGAAAGGATCGAACACGTTGATCAAGAACATCCGACAAATATTCGATGGGGTTTAGATCTGGAGGCACTGATGGCCATGGCAGTACTTGGATACGTTTCGAGCATAACGTTCCCCACAACATCTATAAACCAACGTCTTCCGTCTGTACGGGGAAGCAAAAACATGACTCGATAAACCAAAACGTCTCCAACGTCATACTCTGTGTCCTTGAAACCACTGACGTCGCAGCCGACGATGTTGACCAGTCAGAATGACGCCTCGAAGTGCGGCGCGTAGACAGTTCTTCGATGACTGAGCTGAATTCCTAAGCAATCCTGGTATTGCATTCGACAAGTGTTCTCCAGAAAAGCCACGTGTCCTTGTACGGTCTGTAGTCCAATCACGATTAGACTATTGCAACAGTCTGTATTGTGGCTTGCCAGAGGGACTCCTCACAAAGCTCCAGAAGGTGCAGGATACTGGTACAAGGATCATTAGCAGAACAAAAAAGCGCTCTCACATCACGCCTTGCACTGGATGCCTGTGCGAGCAAGAGTAGAATTGCGCCAAGTTACTTAAGTGACCTACTCTCCAAGCACAATCCTGTGAGAACATTAAGGTCAGGAAATCTTTATCTTCTGGAGATACCAAAACGCCTATTTGGTATCGCTCATTCAGCTATGCTGCACCTTCTCTCTGGAACTCTCTTCCCCATGACATCCCACTGTCACCAACCCTAGACAACTTCAAATCTCATTGAAAGACATTCCTTTACCGAAAATACTATCAATGCTAGATTTCCGTTTTCCTACTCGTTTTAAATACTGTGTATATGCTCATCATAGTGCTTAGAGCAGACACTTAGTGCCTGGAGTATTTTAGCGCTTTATAAATTCACTCATTATTATTTGTATTTTTGCTGTAGTGGTGGCCGTAGTGAGTTTATCGTAAGAACTCGTAAGAACCTTGACCTGTGCTAGAGTTGTGACACGTGGTCGCCCGGATCTGCGTCTGATAACGGTTCCATAGTCTTGTAATGATGCTTGGCGATACGTGGAAAAACCTGGCTGCGACCGAAGTCGAGTAGCCTGTCTGCAGATGGCCGATGTCGCTGTTGCCCTTAACGTCTGTCAGTCGTGGCATGTTTTCACTTTTCACTTACTGTCCATTTGAAACCCATTGTGTTCATAGTGTTACGGTTCAGAAATTACTGAGATAAAAGGCTTGTGAGTCCCCTTTAAACCAGTGGGGTAGCCTAGTGGTTAAAGCGTTACCCACATGGGTACAATGTGTGAAGCCCAATTCTGGTGTCCACCGCCGAGATATTGCTGGAATATTGCCAAACGCGGTGTAAAACTAAAGTCACTCACTCAAACGCTAAAGGCGCCACAACAGCCGAGTTACGTCCCTTGACTCGCAGAATAACATTCTCACAGGCACTCTTCACAAAATGTTCCTCTGTACCAGGAACATACCAAGAAAGGTCCAAGTCATAAAGAGAATAACTGTAACGTGTGTTGAACACTCATATTCCCCTGTCAGAGATATATTCTAATATTCAACACATTAAAGGGTAGTGCAGAATACGTCATCGAACTAGCAGCCTCCGTGAGTAATGCATGAGGTTATTTAGTCAAAAGTATGCAACAAAGCTTTGAATGGTCTGTTTTAGCTCAGTGATGAGAACGTTCACTCGTCACGCCAAAGACCCGGGTTCCATTCCCTACATGGGTACAATGTGTGAAGCCTATTTCCTATGACCTCAGTCGTGATACTGCTGGAATATTGCTGAAAGCGGCATAAAACTAAACTCACTCACACATTCACTGTTTTACAAGCACATGGCTGGCAGCTAGATGTATTATGTCCGCTTCACTTAGTTTCGCGGACAAGTACAGAACACGTCCGAAAACGAGATCTTGAAAAGTTGTTTCAGATTTTGTATCGGATCAATTATCGGATAAACACACACAACACCCACCCCACCCCATCCCCAACCCCCCACAGGGAGTTGTGGAGAATGTAAACACTCTGGGTCGGGAAGATCCTTCAGAACCTTGGCACCATCTTGTGTCTGCGTCCTCAAACAACCCTGACCTCTTGTAATTCAATATTGATTTGGAACCGATATGTTTACAACATCATTTGAACTTTGTATCTCAAGAAATAAACGTATCAGTATGTTTGAGTGTTATGATAATGTCTAAAGGTCGCTGGAATAGATTTGTGTGTTTGTTGAACTGGGGCTTGGTTATAATACACTACAATGATAAAAGAAATGACATAACACAGAGAGTGAGAGCATTCAATTGAAAATGAAGACTCGCATTGTGTACTGAACCTTATGTGACAATACAATCTGTTATTGTTGTCAACTGTATCATTGCATGTATACACAATTTTCAGTTAACGTGTCCAGAAGGCTGTAATCCTTCCACCTGGCATTCCGTATTACAAATTTCGCATCTGTTTCTTTTCTGACTACAAGTGAAGATCAGGGTTAGAACGTAGAAGTGATCTTCAGTAACCTATGCTTGTCATAAGAGGCGACTAACGGGGTCGGGTTGTCAGGCTTGATTTACACATGACATTGGATCCCAATTGCGTAGATCGATGCTGTTTATCACTGGATTATTTACAGACCTCCGCCATATAGCTGGCATATTGCCGTTAGAGCCGTTGGTAAACAGGAATCAAGAACCCTGTAGAGAATGATGTCATTCAGGACCGACCGATGGTAAAGATGCGGGTACCAGGACACGTGTTCATCATTGACATATGGGTTGTTTGCATGTGCGAATAATTTGCCACATTTGCGCTATCACTCTTTCTATACTTGGGGTAGGCGATTATTTTCGTATATTTTTCATTTCTTTTGGAAGAATCATTCTTTGGCCACATGTTTTGAATGATTCGTCTAAGAAACTGGATGACTTGGAGGATCTGATATACGTTCATCACTCCCAGCAGTGTAACTAAAATTTAAGCTTAAAATACCATGTGATATCTAATTTCTAATAAACTAAATCATATACTGCAAAAACCCACAGGAGCAGGAATAGTGACAGGAATGTGAAATACTCAACTCTAGTTAGCAAAGTTAAAATCCTTGTCACCCAAATTTATAATTTGCAATATTCCCTTTAAAGCACACAGAGGTCTTTAGGCCGAATTTCGTACCGGAATACGTTTAAAATCAACACCAGCCTGGTTCCCGGGGTCTGTTGCGCCAGTCGGAGCGTTAGCGCAGGCGCAACAGACCCCGGGGACCAGGCTGAATCAACACAAGACACGTTTGGGATCGCAAAGATGCAATGTTCGGAGAATAGTTGCATAGTGGCCCAGGGGCCCCTTGTCTAAAGCACTAAAACGCATAGTTGATAAAGGCAAAACCTTTATTTCATGAGGACTGGACATGCTTGACAGCTGACATATCCGTGTCGTTTACTCCGCCCACTTGGACAAATCGATATCCGGCAGGCTATCGCAGGACACCTTCTCGTTAGATCCTCTGGAAAGTGAACGTTTATATTTTATATGATGCAATTAGATGCAATTGGGCTCTATTGTATCAATATAGAGTGATTAATTGTGGTTTTACGCCGGTTTAAGCAATATTACAGCAATATCACGGCGGGGGACACCAGAAATGGGCTTCACACATTGAACCCATGTGGGGAATCGAACCCGGGTCTTTGGCGTGACGACCGAACGCTGTAACCACTAGACGATCCCTCTGCTTGCAAATCTGCACATTCTTTATAAATTCGCGGGATTTTTTTCCTTTCATTGACTGCTTGATGTAAGAATATTTTTCGAGCAATGGCTTCTCAAAAGAAAGCATCAGTTGTAAATGTCACCTTAACAAGCATTAACCAACCAGAGGGCTTGATTCAACCACACCCCCGTTTTGTGCGGACATATCGTCATCCCATTGTGTCAAGATCGTTTTGCTGAGACTCAAAATCGGGTTTCAATCGACTTGCAGAAATAATAATAAAGAATTGGTAGGTGTCATGAATGGTGATCGATAGGCCAATCATCCATGAATACGTTTACATTAAGTTTTAATCGATTGTATGTGATGGTAGCGCAGCGATCGGCAAAGGAGGCGGGTAGGGTACACCGAAGTGTCCGGCCTTGTCATAATGTATTATACTGTGAAGCATTTCGAGTCGGGGGTCATCTCAATATTTTTATATTTTTCTTCAAATCTTAAATCCTCGCAAAGACACGAGGGCCTGTGTGTTGAAAGGGTTTTGTCGCCTTCGTTCCATATATGTATCCAATACAACAATGCACCAACGGCTGTTGAAACAGGTGAATCATTTTGTAGTCTTCAAGTTCAGATGTGTTTTTTGTTCTGGGTCTTTATGCATATGAATTGGAATTTCTGCCCAAATCGTTAACTTTGAGTTTATCGATGATCTAATATCCAAGAAGCAAATTTTCAAATATCACCGAGACGCAGTATTATGAAAACAAACTATACTTACGAGCTGGAGATGCTGAAAGCATCCGGTTGGATAGTTTCAAGGCCAGTGTTTATGCAGAGCACACCTGCAAAGGTCACCTTCTGGATCTCCGTCAGCTGATCTGAAACATTATCAGGCATATATATTGTTATCAATGGACTTTATTGTAAAACAACTTTAGTTGAGTTACAGTGCTCATGTCAGGGGGGTAGACTAAGGCTTAGTCTCTGAATATATATAATTTGGATAGTAACAAACAAGCCCATTTATATTGAAAAGGAGCCCTAGGGAGACCAGAGATTCAGAACCTGAGGAAATCTAGACTTGCTTTATTTAGGGCTTTAGCACTGCAGAGAGGGCTAGGCAGTAGGGAAAATTATGTTGTTCAGGGACTGTGAGACAGACTAGTCAGGGGGCTGTGGTGTGCCAGTTGCTATATTTAGATTAGGGAAGACCAACGGTCTGTGAAGATCTTTTCACCCTGTTTTTCCAGCCTAATCCTGTTGTGGAAGTTTGACCATTCTTTCTTAGAGGTGACTGACTATATTATCACTGATATTCGACCCCATGCTACACTATTGTACATTGCCACTGAATTGGTACTGGGAAACTGTTTTGTACTGCCAATGTCACTCCCTTTTGTAGAAACTTAGGTTTATATGAAAATCTAGTCAACTTAATTGTAATCGTCTGACATTTCTTTCTTGTTTATTGATTTTATACTAAATTCTTAATACACACTTTTTGCAGTTTGAAAAGCGACACTTAACAAAATACAATAGTTGAAGGGACAGTGCGGATGCCTGAATTTATCAGGCTTCTAAAAATATTTATTGTTCTATTAATGGAAAGTAATGAATGGTTCGCTGTAAATATGCCATTATTTACATTATATCATCTGTTCAGGAAAGTTCATGAATTATTTGCACATAGGTATTCCATTTCAGAGAGACATGTTGGCTTCTGAGCCTAATATTCTAACACCAATAGTATCAAACCAATAATGCTCCTCAGCCAATTTCGTCCAGGACATATAGGCAAGCTTTGTATAAATACTTAAAGTTCTGTGCCTAAGCATGAAAGGCTACATGAGAATAAGAGAATTATTATGTGTATATCACTTCTCCGAACGTATCAACTGAACAGTAATGAAAGTCATCATTTTCCGAGTACAAATCCAAAATGTAGGTGCCAACATATCGAAACGTGAGTCAGTTCAAATGTTGTTGCGTCTATAATCCTACCAATGACCTCTGCTATTTGAGGAGAACAGGGCGTCTGCCCGGAGAGGTTTTTGGTTCGTTCATTCCAAATGACGTCAACAGATAGTACTTATTTTCCTACATTGGGCTCGGCATTAGGAAGATAAATCAAGAAAGGGCTTGGTGGGGTGTACATGATGAAAGTGTGGCATGGTATTTCATACGGCTGGTGCTATTAAACTGTCATTTGTCCTGATTAGTTTAAGTCAGAAGGCACACCCCTGATGTTACACCACATATCACCGCACCGCACCTGATATCACCTCAGCTCATTCAACTAACAGAACCTCAACTAACTTCATATAACCTCACCTCACCTCACTACACCGCACCGCACTTCATCGCACCTCACCGCACCGCACCACACTTCATCGCACCTCACCGCACCGCACCACACTTCATCGCACCACACTTCATCGCACCGCACCGCACGTCATCGCACCTCACCTCACCGCACCACACTTCATCGCACCTCACCGCACCGCACTTCACTGCACCTCATCTCACCTCACCACACTTCATCGCACCTCACCGCACCACACCACACTTCATCGCACCTCACCGCACCGCACCACACTTCATCGCACCTCACCACACTTCATCACACCTCACCGCACCGCACCACACTTCATCGCACCTCACCTCACCGCACTACACTTCATCACACCTCACCGCATCGCACCACACTTCATCACACCTCACCGCACCTCACCACACTTCATCGCACCTCACCGCACCACACCACACTTCATCGCACCTCACCGCACCGCACCACACTTCATCACACCTCACCGCACCACACTTCATCGCACCTCACCTCACTGCACCACACTTCATCACACGTCACCGCTAGGCACCGCACTTCACCTCACCTCACCGCACTACACTTCATCACACCTCACTGCACCGCACCACACTTCATCGCACCTCACCGCACCGCACTACACTTCATCGCCTCACCGCACTACACTTCATCGGACCTCACCTCACCGCACGACACTTCATCGCACCTCACCTCACCGCACCGTACTACACTTCATCGCACCTCACCTCACCGCACCAATTCATCGCACTTCACCTCACTATACCTCACCTCACCTCACCGCTATACACTTCATCGTACCGCACCGCATCGCACCTCACCGCACCGCAATACACTTCATCGCACCGAACCGCACTTCCTCTCATCACTCACCTCACCGATTCTTATCGCACCTCAACGCATCTCACCTGCAGTGAAGCCAATAGTTGTGTTGGTTGTCTCGTACCAGAATCGATCCCCGGACCGAAGGTCGCTGTACTGCAGACCCATTATGTAGGCAAAGGTAAGTCCGACGAGTCCCCCTGTCACGTGTTCCTCCTTGATACCCCCAACATAGAGGTCGACGTCATCCCTGCTCCTGAGAAACAATCTCCGTATATTATAACAACCCCTTTGGATTTCCGGGTTGGGACAGGTCCCCAACAACCTATATCTGTGTAAGAAGGTCTGGTGGTCAAGCTCGGGTATTATGGTCATTGCTTAACACTGTAACACGATGATGATTGTTACAGGCTGAAGTCAAATAGTTGCCGCACTGCTAACTATGGCGTTTAACGACTGCATAAAATATGGTAGTAATTGGGTAGATGTATAATTTCATTGCTATTTGAAGACCGTTAAATACATCTCTATCTACAGAACCTCAAGGTCAAACATTTTCTGCTACATGGATCCTACAACGTACTGTAATACCGAGGGAGAAGGGGGCTGTAGCTTGGTGGTTAAAGCGTTCGCTCGTCGCACCGAAGACCCGGCTTCGATTTTCCACATAGGTACAGTGTTTGAAGCGATTTCTGGTGTCTCCATTCGCAATATTAATGGAATATTGCATAAAACGGCGTAAAACCATACTCATTCACCCACACTGTAAAAGCCAGAACACAACAACACTTACGTGTACAGCGAATCACCGCATTCAAGATTTGCTGCAGCCCCAGAAGACAAGCCGTTGTCGGTGGCGAACTCCTCAGCTATGTCGCGGAAGTCAGAGTAAGGAGGAAGGCCATGGTCCCTCCCTCGTTGTATGTTGAAAGAGATCAAGTCTCGTGCATCCCCTGGCTTCTTCACGTTTTCAAGAAGATGGTCCATTAAACCTGACAAACGGCAAATTGTTCTTTAGGGAACCATGGCTGCAAAAAGCCGAGACCGTTGTATGATTCCGATTATTTGAGGGGCATGTGTTTGTGTGTCAAATAGTGATGATGCCGGTATTCGCGAAACGGTGAGCGTATTTAGCTCTGCTGATATCATCCGTCACAATACATGCAAAGGCAAGTCAATCTTTCACCAGAAAACAGAACACAGGAGTACATATGGTTCAAATCAACATGGCAATTAGAATATATTGTTCACTGAAGCTTAAAATTTGGAACTGCCTTCCAAAATATACTCTAGAAAGTTCTACCTTGGCCTCTAATTTTGTAGTGAGTGAGTGAGATTGGATTTACGCCGCTTTTAGCATGCCAATATTCCAGCAATATCACGGTGGGGACACAGGAAATGTGCTTTATACGTTGTACCCATGTAGGGAATCGAAACCGGGTCTTAGGCGTGACGAGCAAACGCTTTAACCACTAGGCTACCCCACCGGCCCTTTAATACTGTAAGACTCAATGTCTGATCACACAATATTTCAGATAGAGTGTATGGCGCTCTTTGAAATCTTGAAACATGGAAGGCTTCAGATGCTTTAATACTGCTCGACAAAAATAGCAGTTTGCTTTCCTGATTTTCTATCACAAGCCAACCTTAATTGTCTTGGTTGGCATAAATTACACTCATTTACATTTCTTTGGAAGGTATGTACGAGGTCAAGACTTTTTACTCTTTTGTACCTACGTTCTGTACTATATCCATACCTACCGATGGGGAACTTGTCGTCTGTTTTCTGGTTCTTGGCGTCAAGTAGACCCTCGATGACGTCATAGAAGCTGTCAGTAACATACGAAGGGTCCATTATCAGGTCCTCAACCTTGGTCTCCACGTCATCTCCCGTCATGCTGTACTTGGCGCGGATCTGAGAGTGGCCGAATCTGTTAGCTGCAGTACCAAAGCTGTTTATCAATCCTGGATTGACAGTGATGTCGTAGGAATATGTTGCTCCCAGGTCGAAAGCATCGTAGAAGGTCTGTCCAAGAACTTTCAGAAGCCACTCGCTGTAGGTGATGCGCTGAAGGGAGGCGATGACGATCTTGCGAGCTTCCTCGAAGAGTCTCTCGTCGTCCCAGTCGTCGTTTACTGCAGCAAGACCGGTCGCAAGTCTGTTGTGTTCCCTTACCCATAAGGTATGCATGGCAGCTAATCCTGGGAAGGAGTTGGCCCGGAAGTCGCCTGAATGTAGTGAGTGAGTGAGTGAGATACGAACCATGATCATACGTGGAAGAAAGAACTATCCGATCTTTCTGAGTGAGTGAGTTTAGTTTTACGCCGCTTTTAGCAATATTCCAGCAAGACCACGGCGGGGGAACACAAGAAATGGGCTATACACATTGTACTATGTAGGGAATCGAACCCGGGTCTTCGGCGAGACGAGCGAACGCCTTAACCATTAGGCTATCCAACCACCCCCTTTCTGAATGACAATGACGTGGAAATTGTACTCAGTAACAAAGAAATCGTTGTAAACCTGGGAACCAATAAAAAATATTTTTTTTATAAAAAACAAAACAAAAAAACAAAACAAAAAAAACAACAACAAAGAAATCACTGGCAGCGGGGACACCATAAATGGGTTTCACACATTGTATCCATGTTGGGAATCGAACCAACGACGTGACAACCGAACATTTTAACCGCTCCTTTACTGGGCCACCAGTTGATAGCATTTACAGGGATCCACGTCGAGGCTCGAGGCTGATCATTGAGGTCATTTATGGGGTCAGTGAACCTATTGTGCCCAATGTTGTTGCAACATACTGTATACATCTATAATGAATAAATGTAAACCTTACATTATCATGAACGTGCAAAATAGAACTTGCTAAATCGATAATCGGAAATATCGTTCACTGGAACAATTATTCACGATTATCGACACGAAATCTTCAGCGTTGATAATAGCTTACCTATGCTATATATTGTGAAGAAATAAAATTTAATTTATACACAGTTGCGTCCCTTTTCATGAGCCGCTTCTAAAATACTTTCAGAACGCTGTCTTTGTCAGTAACGCAAGCATAAATGTTTCAACACTCATCTGTGTTGATTTTACTTTTAAAACATTTTCAGAATGTATCGATATCCAGCCCTCATTCAAAATACACACTGATGACGTATGTCACGTGTTATTACCAGCATCCAAACAGCTGTAGCCAGGTCTCTTTGCGCAGGACATGGTGTCAGAAGGCGGAAGGTTGTCCGTGCCGGGGGCGGTTTTCAATAACCCTGTTCACACATAATGATGAGTTTATTATCTTCATGCAAATGCAGCAATATGCAGGTGACCTTAATGCAAATGTGGCAAAATGTCCGATCCAATTTGCCTTTATGGTCCTTATGGTTGGGCACCACTTGCCTATCAAACACCACTTTACGAAAAGTTGCGATGCTGAGTTACCACCTCTTTACCATTCTCGGGTTAGCTGTGAGGTAGGGTATTGGTCAGCTACCTCTTTTAACGAACATATTCAACGCAGTTTGAGGAAACTGTACAGTTTTATCAGGCTTAGCGCCTCCCTGAGAAAATGGGTACTGCGCATGTGCGGCAATTTAAACAATGCTGAAGGATTGGTAAACAAGCACAAATGATTTGTGACAGCACCCTTGGTAGGGTGATGACTCAAGCTGGCATAGTGAGTACTATCCTCAACACGGCCGTTATTGAAATCTGGGAAACTGCATGGTAAAGTGCACATATCTCGCATATAATGCATATACATGCATGCATATTATATACATAAATATGACGAAATAATTTTGGATTGTAGAAAGATATCTACGATGAAATTAGTAATGTCGTAATTCAAACAGGCATGTAATTGAGCATCGGAGAAGGTACTTGAAGTATCATACGATAACACTCAAAAATGGCAAAGCTTTGCACAATATGGCAGTACCATTTAAATAACAATAACAGAGCAGTGTCTCAACTTTGTAGAG